CTCTTTCCGTTGAATTCAAATACTCGAACGGAAGATATGCGTGAACGTCGATTAAATGTCATCGAGTCCGTATCTATATCTCCTTTTACCCAACAGTCGGATCTTTTATGGCCACCGGTCGCCTTCGATCACAGTATTTAATCACACGCACGCGCGCGTATCTTCACAACACTTTACAAGACTTTACAAATAAACAAATAAATGGATTATTTTTATATTAATATCCAATTTCTGTTCTACGATTATATATGCTTATACACGATATAGTCTTGTAACAAATATCATTATCGGTGAATCGCAAAGTAATTCACTAGCTAAAATAATAATTTTGTTATAGATTATTATCAAGTAAATCGAAAAACTTCACGGATGATAAAATTAAACCATCTTGCAAGTTTCTTCGTTTTTCCCTTTTCTATCCATCATTATTTTGCCTCTTTATAAGTAGATAAATAGGTAGATGAGTAAACGAGCACATAGATATACTATGTAGGTATGGAGATGGAATATGACCGACCTCGACTAACAGTGACGCATCACACGCGCTCGTTTCGAGATAAAGCAAAACACATGCGTGGCCTCTCACATAGGTAATACGCGTATCTCTACGCACAGATATGTACTACATGAATCACTCGGCAAAAGGAAGATCGCCTACCTCTGTAAAAGAAGAGTTTCAGCAATTCTATTATCGCGCTACACAATTAATCTTCACGCTTCTATTATTATGCATTTTCAAATTCATCGACCGAAAGTATTCCATTTCAAACATAATTACTCTTTCAATTCGATTACATTTAATGTATATATCAAGGGAATAATCGTTTTTCTTTAAATATCCGATGCTTGCTTAATTACATTACTTACAGCTTTCCTGTTATTCCTGTTTATTCATTTTTTCATTCGTTCATTCATTCACAATTCCGAATGACTAACAATTTCAGATTTACAATATACTCTGCCTAAATTGCTTCAACTATATTTATATATATGTGCATAGTTAAATATGGCTCAGCAACATTTAATCTTTCAAAATGTTTGTATAACTTTTGTTCCTATTTACGAAATAACACACCGAAACGACAATCACGAAAATAAAATAATAAAGGTACCCGCGAATAGCACAACATGTAGACAGATAAGGAAGAGAAAGAGAGAAAAGATTAGCTCGAATATATGGAAGAGATAAAAGAAGACGGAGGAGTATAGTAAAACGTAGAGAAGAGAGAGGGATAATAGACTAGAAAATGGAAGGAAGTGTACTGGGATGCGCAGTCGTATCAATATAGGTTTCATCGCGACGTGGTCTGTTAAGTGATCGCGCGCAACCGGTTGTTTTCTTACGATCAACGCGTTTAAACCATACACGATTCCTATTTATCGATTTAATTGTGCATCGGGAATAGAAACAAATTTTTAAGCTACGATCAATTTCTTTTTTTTTTTTTTTTTCTATTTAATGTGTCAACCAGCAGACGAGCAATTGACACTGAAACACATATAAATTGTATGCAACGTCAAACGTCGTACCGTATGATAGTGTTTCATCGCGCCTGTCACTACTTGTATGTTTTACTGAAATCAGAGCAAGAGGTTAGATTTATTTCGTGCTGGTTTCTCAAATTTTCAACATACCTTCACCTTTTCTTGTTTCTTCTTGTTATTACATAAATAATATTCCTTCATAAATGCATTTATTATCGAGAGGAAAAGAAGACTCTCGTAATTGTTGCGTTAAGACTGTGAATTAAAGTCAAAAGTTGGATTAAATCTAATTAAGAATATGATTTTCTTTGGCGAAAGGAGGAAAAAAGAAAGGAGAAAAAAATGTGCAAAATCATATGAATAACTAGCTTCGTATAGATTATGATTATAATGATTATAATGAATATATTGTTATATTCGCAGAACCATCCTTCCATTACTATACGAAATGTTCAGCTGGTTAAATCGGGAGGAAGGTGGTAAACAGGATCTGTTTGAAAATGTTGCGGATGGTCTTAAAAAGATATACAAGTCTAAATTGCTACCTCTCGAACAACATTATCAATTCCATGATTTTCATTCGCCTCAACTCAATGATCCAGATTTTGATGCAAAACCTATGATCCTTCTGGTGGGTCAATACTCTACTGGAAAAACTACCTTCATCAAGTATTTACTAGAACGAGACTTTCCTGGAATAAGAATTGGCCCTGAACCAACGACAGATCGCTTCATTGCAGTTATGTACCATGAGAAAGAGGGCGTTATCCCTGGGAATGCTTTAGTCGTTGATCCAAACAAACAGTTTCGTCCATTATCTAAATTTGGAAATGCTTTCCTTAATAGATTTCAATGTTCTACTGTTGCATCTCCTGTTCTCAAAGGGATATCCATAGTTGATACACCTGGTATATTGTCAGGTGAGAAACAAAGGGTATGTATATCTGTATATCTGCTTTATTTAACAAACAAAACTTGTATATTTAATTAAAAACCATTCTTTTTCTTGCTAGGTTGATAGAGGTTACGATTTTACCGGGGTTATGGAATGGTTTGCAGAAAGAGTAGATAGAATCATACTCTTGTTCGATGCTCACAAATTGGACATCTCCGATGAATTCAGGCGATTGATCGAAGCATTACGTGGTCATGATGATAAAATTAGAATTGTTCTCAATAAAGCTGATATGATCGATCACCAACAGCTCATGAGAGTTTATGGAGCATTGATGTGGTCCTTGGGAAAAGTTCTACAAACTCCTGAAGTAGCTAGAGTATATATTGGATCATTTTGGGATCAACCTTTGAGATACGATGTAAATAAGAGGTGAGTTCTTTACACCTTTCTATACTTTTAATTGGTCCAAATACAGATTTTCAACTATGCATACAAATTCCCTGAATTACACTATACATGTCTACTATGCATTGCTCTTAAATACTTTACTTTTCTTATAAGTGCCTGAATATTATATCCCATTCTTATCTTATCGCCTATTCTATATATATATATGTGTATATATATATATATATTACATCAGTTGATGAAACTAATAAACGTAAAGGTAATTTTATTGATACTACTATACGATTATCTGTATCAAGTAAACGAAATTGATCAATTGATGAATAAGATAATATATAAGAATCAAATTCAATATTGTTAAATTCTGGATATTCATATGATCAATATCATTGATGTCCAATTGATTTAATTGAAAAAAAAGGATTTAATAATTCATCAATATAATATAAAATTTTTAAAAAACGTAAACAAATGAATAATCAAATAATTATAGGAATAATTGTTCAAATTATTTCAATTAAATGATTTTTTAATATATATAAATTAATATATTTATTATTTAAAATATATCAATAATTAAATATATATATAAATGTACAAAAGTTAATACAGCTATGTACTCCTTATCCTTCCGGATTTCATTTTAGATTATTCGAAGATGAGGAACAAGATTTATTTAAGGATATGCAATCGTTGCCCGAAAATGCGGTAGTTCGAAAGCTCAATGATTTCATTAAACGGGCACGATTAGCGAAGGTAAGCGGATATAAAAATCGCGATATCGATCATCGCAATCTATTGCTAATCGATCGATATCGCTTACGTAATATTCGAATATATGACAAAATCCAACTGCATATCAATTTGTAGGTGCACGCTTATATAATCAGCGCTTTGAAAAAAGACATGCCCAACGTTTTTGGTAAAGAGGCCAAAAAGAAGGAACTTATAAAAAATTTAGGTCAAATTTATGATCAGATAGAAAGGGAACAACAAATTCCGGACAGCGATTTTCCGGACATGAAAAAAATGCAAGAAGCTTTAGCTCATCATGATTTTAGTAAATTTAATTCTTTGAAACCTAAATTGTTGGAAGTGGTTGATAATATGTTCATTAAAGATATTGCTAAACTCATGACTATGATCCCTCACGAAGAAACCGGCAAAACGTCGGAGTTACTCGTTAAAGGTATCTTTTCCTATTTATATTTCTCAACTATATTATTAGTGCATAAAAAAATATATACCAGATAGAAGATAGAAGATAAATCTGACTACTATTTTCATACATATAATACATATACATCATATTTATCTATCTTACACATACCATTTATAAAATAAATTAGAACGAGTAAATGTTGATCAAAAAAATAAAATTTTTCTCTTTCTTTTTCTTTTTATCAATGCTCAAATACTTTAACAAATTGCCTAATGCTTTTGCACAATAGGCGGTGCATTCGAAGGTGTGGAAGATCAAGTGAGCCCATTTGGATATAAACGGGGAGAAGGTATTGATGCTGGCTCAGGTGAACCTGAATGGATTGTTAATAAAGAAAGGTATAAATACAATATACTATTCGAAACGCTCGATCCGTGTGATGGGAAAATCACAGGGGCAGGTAAGTTCTTATTACATATAATGTATTAATTCGTGTATCTTTGTTTCAACTTTTTCTTTTTCTTTCTAAATTTACATATTTATAAGTGTACATATTATTATATACAAATACGAATGCAATACATTTCGTCATTGTATGACACTCTTACGTCTTCTAATTAACTCGTTAAACGTTAAATGCTTAATAATATCTATTTCGGATCATGTTTTCAGCGGCTAAATCGGAAATGATAAAATCGAAATTACCAAACAACGTACTTGGGAGAATTTGGAAACTATCCGATATTGATAACGACGGATTTCTGGATTCTGAGGAATTTGCCTTAGCAATGCATTTAATTCGTGTAAAACTCGAAGGTTATGACTTACCTTCAGAATTACCGGATCACTTAGTACCACCAACGAAGCGGAACAAATAATTTAGTTCAAATGTTGTACTCACCTCTTGTATCTATTCGTCGATATGTTTGGTACATGTTTGGTGCACACATTATATGATCATATTTATTAATTCGCCAACACAGTATCGCTAAATACATCGATTAATGCCGCTAGATATATCAAATGTTCGAAAGAGTACGCAATATTCACGAAGTTTATTTCAATAAATAACTTTATATGACATTCAAGTATGCACGGTTTTTGCCTGACTAAGATGTGAAAACATTAGAAGAAAAATGAAAAAGAGAGAAAGGAATAGAAAAGATATAATAAAATGATTTATTTGATTTATAAGTTGTTTTTTTTTTTTACAAATGGCCTATATAATATTATCGAAGTAAATCACGTACCCTTTCGAGCTATGCCAATATTTAACTTCGTATTTAACATTGATTCTATATCTGCATCAGCATCTTATTACTCTCCCCCCTCCCCCCCCTCTCTCTCTCTCTCTCTCTCTCTCTCTCTCTCTCTCTCTAGTCTTTTGAATATCTCATCAAAAATTAATGTTACATTATTATACAATGAAATTTTCTGATGGTTTAGAGGTTTTCAACAAACCATTAACACTCATAAATACATGGAGAAAGAATGAAATTAACTCTGTATATGCACGTGAGTATAATATATCTTTTCCCTAATTCGAATGAAACTGCTGATATTATTATTTAACTTCATCATCATCATCGTCATCGTCATCGTCATCGTCATCGTCATCGTCATCGTCATCGTCATCGTCATCGTCATCGTCATCGTCATCGTCATCATTATCATTAATGAAATTATACCTTTAACAAAAATAATAAAAAGGTTTCGTGGTCAATATTTTAATGTTTAAAATGTATCAAGCATTTGAGATACTTTATTTTTATATGTGCTTTTAAATCACGTAGCTACATATACAAGCAAAAGCGATGTTTATTTAGCAAACACGTTAATCTTTAATCAAATACGGTAGTTATTCTGTGGTGTTAGCAGAAATTTCCATGAAAAGGGATTGTAGCGTATATTATATAACGATATAATTAGTATACTTAGAAAAATGTAATCAGTATTCAATTATTTTGTATGTATTTTATTTGTCCTTGATCTATGCAATTTATGCTTTATTGATCAAATTTACGATTAACGATCTAGGTATAATTTAATTTAATTCTGTGAAATCGTGACAATGATATAAATGTGATGTATTTGAAGAAGAAAATAAGAAAACAAAAAAAAAAAAGGAAAGTTCGAAACTTAAATGTTATGTATCAATTCTGTTATGATGTTGCCACCTTGTTCCGCATAGTTGGTACTACAGAGTCGGTTGTGCATATATTAAAACAGTTTGAATTTCATACACTTTTAACTGTCTAATTTTGTTTGTATAAATGTAATTTTTATGATATTTCTTTGTTTACAATTGTTATTGAAAGTATATCTCCGATAAAAATACATCGAGGTATGTTTAATAAAATAAAATTCTATTTCCTGTCATGAGCGAAACAATTTTATATGGAAAAATGTAAAATATGAAACTTTGAATAAAATTTTGCAATATAAAATATTATTTTCAAAAAAATTAAATTTGAAAATATCCGTGTATTGATATTTTGATTACAAGTTGCTGTCACAATCATATATTTTTCAAAACATTTAAAATCCTCAATATTGAACATATAATTGTTTATTTACTATCATTTTTATTAATTTCCGTATCACGTATCTGTTGGCAGCGTTAAACAATTGAAATTTAAATGTATATGTATCAATATCTGTTACAAAGCATAAAGCTTTCAATTTTGCATTATTTTAATGTTTACTACATTTTTAGAATATAAAGTGCAATTATCTAACAGTATACATATATGTAACAGAAGAATTACAACAAGAAGGTATTGTTATTAAAGAAAGTTCAAAAAAAGAAAGAAGTGACATTGTGATTAAAGATATTAAGTATACACAAGATTACAAATATTGTTTCCCAGAACTGCATTTCATGAAGGTAATTGTAAATAACACTAAAGAAATGAAAAACTTACATAAATTGTATAATAAATGGTCTGTAATTGGTAATTATTTAAATATTATTTCAGATTATAAAGCTATAAAGGGCATAAATGAATTAATTTATCTTTGCAATATTAATTCATGAACAAATAAAAGTTTAAATAATATAAAATTATCAAAGCAATTGTCTGATGAAACTAACTACAATTTCAATGCTACAAAACTATTAAGTAGCCCTATTATAAAAAATCTTGAAATTCTTAAATCTCTGAAGACAAAAATACTCGTTTAGAAATTTATCTTAGTATAAATCATGTTCTAATAGTAGCTCAGAAGTATTAGGAATATCAAGAAAGTTGTCTATGAGTGTAAATAAATCATAGGAAAATAATAGAGTTTTTGATATTAACAAATTCAAATCAAATTTGCATTGAAGTCTTGAAGATTGAAATTAAGATCTTGCAATTTGATGTCACGAAAACCAAATGTACTAATGTCACAGCCAGAAGAAAGTGAAATTACATGTTTCCAAAATTATAATGTAAATGAGACAAATGTCAATGTTTCAAGTAAACTTTGTAATATAAATATGAATGGTACCTTAAAACAAAATATATTTATGTTAAAAGAACCAATTGTGTTATTACAAAGACTTTCCAACGTTATTAGAGTTGTTCCGTCATCATTATCTTTATCATCATCCATGATAAGAATATACATAACTGATCAATTTGGCAATATCAAATTAAATATTTGTCGAAAGATATTCAATTCTATAATTAATTATTCACAAAATGTATTAAAATCCAGTAGCAAGAAAAATTTTAAGACTAAATTTCACAGCAAAAATCAACAGAAAAATGTACAAAAATTGGATAAGAAAAACATTACAATGTCTCATTTAAAAAAATCCTTGCATAATAAAATAATTGCAACTCAATGTAGCTCAAAGAAGGATACTTCAAAATTATCAATTGGAATTTTACATAGAAGATCAAATTCAAATAGTCACAAAGTCAATCCTGCTATTTATTCATTTAGCCCTTCTTCACAACTTCATTGTAAATCACATTCTTTTACTAGTACAAATATTGTACCAATCTCATCATGCGTGTCCTGTGTTAAAAAATTAGGTAATCTATTGATGAAAATATCCAAATACGAAATTATAAATCAGTTAAAGTATAAAGCAATATCTGTATTTTTTTTTCTTTTTCCCCACAGATTCAAAGTATTCTGCAGTGAAGAAAATTCCAAATTTTGCTGAAATCCATAAGCAAATGTTTGCCAGATCAGAGTCTATCATAGACGTAAAAAATAGACTAAAAGACAGACACACTGCATTAAGTAACATTTCATATTCGATTAATATCATATTCGATAATTTGATAGATTTTATATTTATGCAATTCTTTTCAAATACATATTTATTTTTTAGCCAAACTCAACAGTCCAGCAAATGTAAAGATTAATTCACGGGAAAAAGTACCGCTATCTAATAAATCGAATAAAAATTTTAATAATCACACGGAATTTAAGATGAAGAAACACGAAACTACCGATTGTATCTTGAAAGATTATGCTTCACATTCAACAAGGTAAGATTATGAATAGATAAATATTTCAAACTAGGGAACAATATATTAGTGTTTTTTTTTTTTTTTACATTTCTTTTATTATAGAGGGTAACAACAAAGCTGAGCTAAATTGGCGGGCGTAAGAATCAACCAGCGTTTAGAACTTCAAATGAAATCAAGAAATATAAATTCTTAGGACAATGTATTTTATTATTACACAAATTCCTATGTTTCATATCATTTACTTTACTTTGTTTCCCTTTTCTTTCACGTATTTCAGAAAGTAATTTTCTAATGCTCAATTCCTGTTTTAATTCTATTTATATGTCATATTTTTAACTAACGTATAATAAAGCTTCAATATAGTTAAAAAAAAAATTAGTTTTCCGAATTTATCGTATAAAGTTGTGAAATTTATATTATCATTATTATCGAATTTAATTACATTAAATTTGTACCTTATATAATGTATATATGTATGCATACATATGGTAAACAAGCTGATAAGCACCTTTAAATTAAAGAGTGCGATAAAAATGGAAGTATGGATAAATATTTATGAAAAATTTTAAATATATTTCATTTGTATTTTTATAATAACATTCGAGAATTTTCGCTCAAAATTATTTTTCTTTTGATATGGTGTACAACAAAGTAATATGCATTAAAGCGCCTCTCGTATCAATTTCATTCAATGCTTCTTGAAGTACCACGAATAGAATTACATAGTGAATTATATCACAAACAGCTGTTTGTGTCTGAGAATTTTGCAGACGTGAAGAAAATCCTTTCCTCCTTCCCCCCTCTTTTTTAATGCTTTTCTCTTGACTATGCTACAAAAATTAGAATAAACTGGATAGTAATTATAGATATAGAATCTTAACGAGGTGTATATTAAATTTTAAGGGTATTATGGTTTGCGAGGAAAGAATCAAAATGGAATCTTTGAAACTTTTGTTCGAGTTAGCTGTCAAATAAACACATGTAACCTAAAACGTGTGAATCTAAAGAAATTGACGTTAAAATTAAAGAAATGGATGTTGTAACAACAAGCCTAGAGGCCCTGATACGTAAGTTAAAATCTAATATATGTTTGTTAATCACTTCGAAGTTTTTACAATCACAACGAATATGTCCGTTTTAGAAATATCAAAATTTTGGTTAATTCGTTAAATGCATTTTTCCTTTCTTCTTTTCCCTCCATTCTTTCGCTTTTCTTTTCTTTTTTTTCTTTTGTTTTTTTTCTTTATAGAAAGGGTAACGAATCCACAAAATCAAAAACCTGATATAGCCGCAACTGAGGCGTTCTGTGTAATGCTTACCAAAGAATCAGAAGGTATTCAAATCGGTACTAAATTGTTAGCATTACGTATTCAGTCATCTAACGAGACTACAGCACTTCAAGCTCTTACTGTAAGTTTCTCATCTAATTTTTGTTTAATAATAAATTTATATTTAAAATTGTCTTATTGCGCTATTCCAAATAAAGGGGGATACAAGTAAAAATCATTTTATTTTTATTATTTTATTTGATTTATTCCTTGTTGTTTACAAGTTGCTACTGTTTGAATATAAACTTATATTGATGATAGATAGGTACATATCAAATGATAAATAATACATATATAATATTTCTGGTTTTTAATTACATAGTTACTGGACACATGTATGAGGCGATGTGGGTCATCTTTTCATTCAGAGGTTGGTAAATTTCGTTTTTTGAACGAAATGATTCGTCTAGTTTCACCAAAGTATCTAGGTGGCAAAACGCCGGTCATGGTGCGTCAAAAAGTATTACAATTGCTACATACGTGGACAAGAGAGTACCCAAAAGAATTAAAAATTAAAGAAGCTTATGAAATGTTGAAAAAGCAAGGAGTTATCAATGTGAGTTTCGTGTCATATTTTTCTTTCTTTCAATTCTTTTGTTAAGATACAGAAATTATATATATTCTCAGGATGATTCTGTGTCTGTAAATAATATTCAAGAGGAAGGTTTGAAGGTGCTGAAAACTAAAAGTACAATATTCTATGATGAGGAGAAATCCAAATTATTACAAAAATTACTCCAGAGCAAAAATCCTGATGATTTGCATGCTGCAAATAGATTAATTAAAACTATGGTGCAAGAGGTAATTTTAATTTCAGTATTCAAATTACTGACGAGTTTTATAGAATATATTAATTCACCATATTTCGTAGGATGAAAGAAGAGTACAATTAAATTCTCATAGGATAATGGAATTAGAATCTGTTCATAACAATGCAAAGTTATTATCAGAAATGTTAGACTCATATAATTCTAATGAAACCAATGCGGAAGATCTCGAATTAATGAAAGAATTATATGAAGCTTGTGAAAGATTAAAGCCGATTGTGTTGAGGTTAGCAAATGAAACCCAAGATAATGGTAAGTACCTTATGATATTAAAATTCCTTTGAAACAGCTTCAATAAAAGATTATTATTTTTCACCCATTAACGAATTTATTAACATCGAAATAACAATTTAATTATAAGATTTTTAAAATCAATTCATAATTATTATTTGAAATCTCCGAACTGTATTTTGTTTAAATAATCTGTATTAGGTGATGTACTTGCTGCAAACGATGAATTGGAACAAGTATTTGAGAAGTACACTGCAATTATAGTTCATGGTAAATGCATAAAACCTAAGACAGACTCCAACATCAATCAGTATTTATTAGATTTATCTTCTCCAATGGAGAATATTCCCCTCGAAAGTGATGGTATAAATGCAAGTTACAGTGTAATGACAGGAAATCATCAGTCAGACATGGATGTTTTAGGAGATATCTTTAATTCATTAGGAAAGTCTGAAAATTCAGAAATTTCTTTGATTCCTAATGCAAATCTCTTAATGACCGATTCAGTTATGCAGCCACTCAATGTGTTACATAAAAATAAGAAAGGTCCGTGAACATAAAATGACTGACACATATGCTCTCTTGATTGAATAGCACTGATACATTGAATAAATCGAACGACTCTTTAGTAATGAATTTGATTGATTAAATAAACAAACAATTGGTGAGTAACGTTCCATTTTCAGATGAATTAATCCACACATCTGAAAAGAAAATTGTCAGTAAAGCAAAATCATTGGAGGAACTGAACGAATTGGGAGAATCTTTACTTAAACAAAGTTTATCAGGCATAGCATCAAATTCTCGTGTAAAACCAGGAAGGTTGGTAAAACATATGTTTATTACACTTCTTAGTCATTTTTATTTTGTACAGTCACTGTGTTTTCTTTCGCCTCTTTTTGCCCTGTTATTCTTGATCTTTGTAGTAAACAAAGTATAAATCGTCCACCAAATAACGAACATCTAGCAGAACGTTATGCTTCAACAACCTTCCCCCGCAGTGGTTGTTCTTCGCATTTTTCTGACTTGTCGGAGGTGATAAGTATGAAAAACAATAAAATTTCTGATATTCATTTTGAATCAAGCCATAATTTTCCGTCATATGATGGCACAAACACTCAAACCATTATTGAAGAAAAGGTAGATGGAAACCGATGTGATAATCGATTAGGCACATGGGATGCTGCTTCAATAACACCTTCAGTAGAAAATTCCATTAACCTAGAAGCTCAAATTAAGCCGTTAACAGATATCAATATTAATCTTCAAGATATTAAACCAGGTAATCGCTGCTGGTTTCTTATTTATTCCTATTTATTTACTAGTATTGCAAAAGTCTTTTTGACGAAGATTCCAGAGAAATAGTACATAATACTTACTATTTAATGTCAGATATTTGATCACATGCATGTAGTAATAATAGTAACAAAAACTGTTCATTTTATTTTTTTTTTTTTTCCTTTTTCTTTTTTTCTCCGATAGGCACTAATCCACCTATGACAGTAATCGAAGAAAAGAATGGAATATCTGTTGTGCTTCATTTTGCTCGAGATAATCCAAGAGAAGATGTGTTTGTTGTAGTGATTACAACAATGAGTAGGAATTTGAAACCACTTACTAATTACCTGTTTCGAGCAGTGGTATCAAAAGTATGTACTGCATTTGCATTTAATAACTCTTTATTATTATTATTATTATTATTATTATTATTATTATTATTATTTACAATACAACTACTAAATTTAAATAGATTTGTGGATAATGATTAAAGACTAAATACACTTTATTTTTAGAAATGTAAATGTAGGCTTCAACCACCTTCTGGAACAGGTTTACCTGGTCATAATCCATTTTTACCCCCATCAGCAATTACTCAAATTATGCTAATTGCAAACCCTACTAAGGTAAAACAGTGAAAATTCTTCTTTCCTATTTCACATGTTCACTGTTACATTCGAATTTATTATAATCTGTTTTGCAGGAAACGGTATCATTAAAATTCATGTTAAGTTATACAATGGACGATGAAACATTTACAGAAATGGGTGAAGTAGAAAAGTTGCCTTTAATTTAAAGTACTTAAAGCATACTTATAAGGAGTAAACATAAAAATGCAGATTCTAATAACTAAAAGGAAAATATATTGCTTTTCCAAAATTGGTACTTTGAGAATATTATTTCTTTTCTACTTTATTTCTCAAAGTGTAATTACACTTTCATCTTCAAGATATTCATTGTCATATTCAGAGATAAAATTAATATTATATAGATATTTATAAATCATGTTGTACGTAACACACTTAAAAATGTGCAAACCTATTTTAAAACTAGAATATGTAAGAAAGTTAAAAGATCGCATATATAAAAGAAAAAACACAAAGATATATCATAGCGTTATATAAATTATGAGTTGAAAACGACATTCCTTATTATTAAACGTATGAAAATAATATTCTATTAAAAAATTTAAATAAATATATAATTCGTTCAGGTAACGGAAAGTACTTCATCGCGAAATGCGAGAGCGGTAACAGCTTTTTGATGACCCTGATACTCTCGTTCTACAACTCCTGTTGATACGTTCCATAATCTTGCTACACCATCGGACGAAGCTAAATTAAACAAAGTGTTGAAATCTAACCTACAAATTATGATAATAAAAATTAAATAGGAAAGTACGTTGTTACCAGTAAATATGTATTGTGAATCTGCGCTAAATGCAGCATCCCACACCCATCGTTTTGCTTCATGTTGAAGTACTTGCACTTCCGAGAAATCTGTAGTTTTCCAAACTCGAGCAGTTTGGTCAGCGGATGTAGTTACTAAAAGCCTGAACAAAATCACAATAAATAATACACATGAATTTACATAATTTTATTATTAGGTCTTTAATGTGCTATACTTACGTAGAATCGGGGCTGAACTTGCATCGAAGTGCATAACGTTTGTGCGCAGTAAGTTTGTGACGAGGATTAAGGCGTGTAGGCTCATCACCAACACCTCCGGTAAGCGTCCAAATGTAACAATGGCCTTTGTTGTTCACTGCTGCCATGTACGTACCATCTTGATCAATTGCAACATCTTGGACAGATGCTTCAGCCTCTGGTATCTTGACATAAAAAGCATAAATAGAGATAGAATTGAAATCAATTTAATGATGCATTGCTATTAATAACATAATAACATAACATGATATTTTCTGGACTTTCTATTAAATTAATTCTGTATCTTTTGTACCAATTGTTCGTTATGATCTGAACGTAGATCCCACAAATGTATAACACCACTTTGATCACCAACAATAAGTTCTGCTTGATTCGGATGCAAACACACACAGTTCACAGGAGCTGACACTTGAAATATTCGCTGGCATTGAAAACTACTCGATCTATAAGATTGTTATTCTTCTTTGTTATTATTGTCGTTAGTATTTACTTACTGCTTTCATATTTTCATGGCAGAGAATTAATGTGGCATTTGAATTCTATTTGTATTTACCTGAGATCCCAAATGCGAGCAGAACAATCTTCACCACCCGTATACATCCATTTACCCTCTTCCTAAGTGTAAACAAATACATTAATAGTTCTATAATAATTGTTACTACAAAAAATGGTCTAGCAAAATTCAGAAGCAATATATTATTTGATATAAAAGGAATATAATAATAAAACACCTGGAAACCCAAGCCTGTAATATTTTTTGATACTCCTTCATAATTAATAATTGGGTTTGGATTATTTGAAACTAAGTCATACATCCTTATGTGCTGGTACCCAGCAGCAGCTATTAAATATTTATCTGGAGTAATATCTAAAGCGTTAACTTGCTAAAAATAAGAATGTTTTGAAATAAAAATAAAATTTTAGAAACAATGTATTATTTAGTGTAAGACAAATACTGAATCTGTATGTTCTGCAGTACGTTGACAAACTCCAGTATGTGGTTGCCATATTTTAATAGTATGATCATAACCACCTGTTACAAGAATAACTTGTTCATTGCTGCTACTACCATCCATGGTCATCTAATAAAATGTAGTAATAACAAATAATAATATGTAATAATAATATGTAAGTTTCTATTGGAATTTCACGTATAAAGTTATCTTTTTTTTGTTACCATTGCAAATTTGGTGAGCTCATTTTTAGTTACCTTCAATTATTGTAGTAATTGATTACAAGCGAATAGTCGTTTGATCTCCTTTACATTATGCCATTCCGTTTTTTCTTCGTTCCTATATTATATAGTCACCGTATTTGTATAGTATACTTCCTAAAGTTATAATAAATATTGCTAGGTCTTCGTTTCGAATAACCTATTCTTTTACTGTCACATTAGCGATACAATCAAAATATATAGCTAGAATTAATCTTTTATCTTAATAAAATAACTCATTTGTGTTTATTTTTGTCTTTATAATAGCAGAAACTTCAAAGTTAATAAATTATAAAAATTACAGAAGAAACTGTCATCAATTAATGTCATCTAATGTCAATTTGCAAATATCTTTTGATCCCGTTTAAGGGAGTATTTCCACTTAGAATTTCAAAACAATTGATTTTGCTTTATTTCGTTTCTCGAAAGTATACGCTCTCGAAAACATTTTTAACAATGAATACTGCTAGATTCACAAAATGAGCAATATTATTATTTTCACAACTTTCAAGTACTTTTGAACAATTTTAATTTCAGGTATAGCCACAGTCATACTGAATAAAATGCTTTTTAATTTTTTTCATTCCTGACATACAGAACGGCCGGAATTGTAATAACCATAGGGACACGTTTTCTTTAAATGCTTTTACTAGATTAATTGTAACTTCTGTAATTTTTTATATTTCTCTGTTGAAAAAAATTATGGATACCCCTGAAATATAAAGCTAAAAACATGTTTTGATATTGAATGCAAAAAAATTTACTATTCTTTTATAAACAGATTCAATAAATAAGCGATCAAAAAATTTGGGTCTAAATGGGAATACTTCCGTAAACCGATATATAAACTTATATGCACATAACGTGTGAATAAATTAATTACTATTGTTATACTTATCGTGTATTAGTTATAGATAGTAAGGCATATAATATTTAAATCACATTTCAGTATATGATCTAAAAAACATTAACTACGATTCATAACTTAATTTTGGAAATACACATACAAACACACCCGCGTGATAATAACTTATTGCTCGCAAAAATAGTCGCCCTCCACGTGCATTCTATGTTTCTGTTACTTTCTCAAGCTTCTGGTCCAAAATCATAGACCAAAATCTTAACCAAAGTTAGTAACCTATTCGAAGAAAATCAGTGTCATCTATGATTTTAAACTCGAAGCTCGAAGATCTATTTAATTAATTATTGCACAGAGGGTGAACTGATACTGAAGATAAAATAGATTTTTCATTAATTACTATCTTTTATACAAGTAGTTTACGAATTACATGTATATATTACAAAGACTGATTTGCAAACAGTTTATAAATTATTACACAGATTATTACTAACAAATTAAGATTAGTAATAACAAATTGTTCACGAAGGAAGTTTATAATAAAAGTGAAAAAATTAATAAATTATTGGCTAATATTTGAACATATAACGTGTGCTTGTGCTAAAATGTACTTATAATTTGCAAAAAGGTTATAAGTAATTATACTAATTGTTAATAACAAATTAATATCGTTAATAACAAATTGTCCATAATGTAAATTTTCAATAAAAGTGAAAAAAACTAATTATTTAATGATTATTACTTGTACTTACAATGCATTCATGCTAAAATGTATATATAATTTACAAAAAGTTTATAAATTATTGCACTAATTGTTAATAACTAATTAATATTGTTATTAACAAATTGCTTGCAACATATATTTATAATAAAAGTGACAAAATTAATAAATTATTAGCTATTAAAGGGGAAAAATTACAAATAATGAAATCGGCAAAATTCGAAAATTTCTGATCAGGGTGGGGAGCTCGGTCGATCGGAGACTATATAAGGCGCGACGTGACGCAACAAAACCAATTTGTCATTTCGACTACGGAAGTGACACGTCTAAATTTCTAAGTTCACGGAAGAGGTGGGGGTCCGAAATGTGGATGGGGCTAGCCGCCCCATTCATACACCATCCTCTTAAACAATTTACTAATAATTTTTTTTTATTTCCAGCTATTAATTATTTTTTTCTTTCAGAATATAATTATTCTTACTTCTTTCAGGTATTAATTATTTCTTTTCGTTTCAGATATTATTTCTTCGTTTTTATTTAACGTTATTTGAGAATTCGAATATTTCGTATAATATTCAAATGTCTCATGATTGGGTCCTTTATACATCATCGTTGGGTTGTTCCCTCCGTTTGGTTGATCTTTTTGCTTTTAGTTTGTTCCAGTTTCCAGCTTCGTTTTGAGTTTGGGCTGGCTACCACAACCTCACCCCACCCTATTAAACAATTTAATAATATTTTATCCTTTCAGGTGATAATTACATTTTTTTTTTCAGGTTCTAATTATTTTTTTTATTTCAGATATTTTTTGTTTATATTTATCTATATTTGAACATTCGAATATTTCGTATAATATTCGAATGTTTCGTCGTTGGTTTGTTTATGTCTCATGGTTGGGTTGTTTGTGTCTTATCGTTGGGTTAGTCAGTGGCTAGTCGATAGCCACTGTCCACTCTACCCACACTCCATCTTTCGAAATAATTTAATAATTTCTTTTAAGGTTTTAATTACTTTTGTCGTTTCAGATTTTATATTTTCAATTTATTTATTTTTATTGGTGCATTCGAATATTTCGTACAATATTCGAATACTTTGTCGTTGGGTTGCTTATGTCTCATCGTTGGGATGTTCATATCTCATCGTTGGGTTCTTCATGTCACATCGTTGGATTGTTTATTCCATTTAATTGATATTTATGGTTTATGTTTATTTTGTTTGTTTATATTTGCTTTATTGTGTTGTGCTAATCTTGTACTAATCTGTTTCTTTTCAGCTTTTCAGGTTTTTCAAGACATAATAGAGCGACGCGGGATGCGTGCGATTACATCTATGTAGACTTAAGTATCAATAAGGTAGATTTTAAGTTTTTCAAGATTTCATCGGAAGACATCGTTGGACGGCGAGGGATGCGTGCGTTTAGATCTAAGTAATTATAAGGAGGATAAGATAGATCCGTAGACTAAGTGTCATGTGCGCGCTATCCGTTCAAAGGTAAGCCACCTAACTTGGAACGAATATATATATTCCCCTATCCTTCTCGTTATCAAATAGAACATAATTGTTCTCGCGATAATCGCGATTGTTCTTAAGTACCGACTAGCCTATGCGACGTACTTCGCGTGTACTCGACAACTCCACGTCTCGTTAAGTCATTCTCACTGCTCGTCTCCGACACTCATTCTGCGCTGTCAATCTCGTCATGCATCGGGATCTCTGGTGGATCTGGGGCTGGGAAGGCATCTGAATCAATACGCGGGTCCGTTGACCTGGGTGCCAATCTGTGCACACGACCGGGGGAAGGGCCCTGCAGTCGGAATCATTGCAAGAGCGTGCCTGCCTGCCCTGTTGCACTTGGCGGCCATGTGGTTATGCTTGCATAGAGCCTGGGTATGGAGCATGCGCGTGATTCCGACTGTTAGGCCTCGCATAGGACTCTCGGATTGACTCTGGGTGTTTCCCTGGTTCGTTGGTTGCCTTAGATCATCGAGTAAGCCATGGCGAGGTCGGCAGTGGCAGGGTGGGCAAGGTCCGATCGGGAGGGTGCTGAGGCCCGGACTTGTCTTGTGCACGGGAGTACGTCTCGTAGGCTAGTCTGTCTTTCGAATGTTGGCGAACTCGTTCGGGCACGTCGCAATTTTCTATTTGCTCGTGTGTTTGATTTCTATGGGAACTTGAAAATATCTTAGCGTCGCGACAGTAGAGTTTCAGTATACCGAACCGAAACCCCTTTTGTAAGGCAAGAAATATAATAAAGTGTCAGTAAAGTCATTTTAACTTAATTCGCTCCAAATTAGATTAGGGTGCCTTTGATTCAGGTAGCGCCAGCAGGCTGCGTCACTAGGGCGCATGTCTAGGTCTCGATGCGTAGTCACCTCCTCGTGGTGAGACCTGGTAATTGGTATCGTTTTCCAAAGAATAATTTTTGGAAAACGATACCAAGCTAAGAGCTATGCACAAAGCTTAAGTTATTTCCTGTCTCTTGTAAATTTTCAGTGTTCCCTTTGGAATTTGAAAATAGAGAGTGGGCAATATCTGTTTAAATGATATTTATATGGAGAGGAATTAAGCTAACAAGGAGAGTGTAAGTCCTTCGATTTAGTTGAAACTTTGCAGCTTTGTAGATATCGTCATGCAGTTTAAGAAAATACATCATTATAGCCGCAACTACTCAATAGTTTTTGAGATATTTGCGATTAAAGTTTTATTACTTTCAGAATTATGTATTTCTTTCTAATGTGTTTGAAGTTAAGTTGTACCATAACGGCGACAATCGAGAATTGTTGTAGTGGAGGACTGGCGTTCGATTCCTGTTGAAAGGTTTTTGATAGTTTTTCCAATGTATTTTTTATTTGGTATTCATTTTTCATTGTAAATAAACAATTGTAAATAAAATGTCTTAATAAAAAAGTTTATTATTTACGCTTTCTTATGCTAGTGTATATTTATTACAAAATGATAAGAATATCATGGAAGAAAAATACTTTTCTATAGCAATCTTATTTACTACAAGAAATACAAAACCTATCGCTCATGCAGGTATTAATTATTAAATTAAACATCCTACAAGAATGTTGCCTATAATTCCAACTTCGCTGTGCAGCTATAAATTTTCATGAATTAATTACAAAAACTTGGCAATTTATTAATTTTCTACTGTCGAATTGATATCTAGTATCCAGTTCGAATAAAAATTTTACCGCCTGCGATCAGCGCCGTCTATGACTTTGGAATAGTTTCTCAAATAGTTTACTAACTCTGGTTACGTGCACCTAATATATTTTAATTTATTTTAATAAATAAAATCATAAAGTTTACTATATTCTTTAATAAATTCAACCGAAACAGCGGTTTTAAATAGACAATCAGCATTCATTTCTTTACCTGGCAGACGACAAATATGCAAAGGTACGGCTTTACCACCCAATTATAAAATTTCATAAATTAAACACAGAAATTGAGCGATTTGATAATTTTTCTCCAAGTGAACAGGAGAGTGCATGGGAAGTGAGAAAAAATTACAAACAAACGCCGGAAGCATTGTTGTGTCCATGCAGCTTAGCCTGCATCACGAAAAGAATGTAAGTATTTGTATTAACATAACCTTTAATTGTAATTAAATAGTGTAAGTTAGAAAAAACAATATTCTGTTGAAATAAATAGACACGTGCAACCATAGAAAAATATTGGACTCATGGAATATCATCAGCGTAGATGCCAAGAATTATACTTCGTAGCAAGAAAAAATTGAAGCAGCAATATAAATATGTAAAGTATGATATGTCTATTGCATTCTAGGTCGGTTAACCATATGACATACAAGATAGAAATCTTTGATGGCCAAATAAAAATTCAGAAAATGGAGATGATTTAGGCAGACAAAAAGGAATACGATTAATTTAAGTGATGGCCCCTTATAACAACAAGATATGGAGAATACAGTGAGATTGAAAGGTATGTTGTGTTCCTGATACAAATGAATATTAATATCAGTGGTCAAAGTCAATGATCATCGCTAATGTGTTAAGTTTGAATAAAAGGAATGAGAAGAGGAAACGTATATAATGTGTCAAATCAAGAAATAGAAAAGAGGCAACATATGTATCAAGAGAGAATAGAAAAGAACCATTTGGTTGACTGATTTATAAATAACTAAAGATTTAATATGAAACATTATTGATGAAGGATTTTTTCTATTATAGGAGACTTACAAACATGAGTAATATTTATATGCAAGAGCCAGCCACTAAGGGTAAAGTAATAAGTATCATTTTATAATATTTCAATGGATTGTATATCTGTTTTTAAAAATTTAACCGATATACAATATTTACTTTCTAAATTTCTATATTAATGTATTAAATAATTTCTAATTTGAATTACAATAATAAATAATAAATTTTAATAAATTTGATTTTATAAGTATTTTACATTAATCAAACTAATATATTTGTCAAACTAGGCTGTAATGAAAACAACTGTTGGTGATATTGAGTTAGAATTATGGGCAAAAGAAACTGCAAAGGCATATAGAAATTT